TGTGGAACTAAGTTTCCTAGACTTACTTTCTCTATATGGTTCTGAAATACAATTAGAGCATGAGAAATCGACCTGGTATTTGAGAGGCAGAAGTTCAGCAACATTTACTACACTCTGAAGGTCAGTTCTGGTCAGAAGTGCTGAGAGACAGTGCAGAGGCACAGTGTGTGGCAGAGTAGCCCTTTTACCCAATGCCTGGAGAAGTACATTCATGCAGAGGGTTTCATCATCTCTGAAAAACTCTGAGATGGCTAATTCTCTGTAGCCTAGAAATGACAGTGGGGAACTGTTGCCATTGAACTAGGCTCTCCAGATTCAGGGAGGACAAAAGAACCTCAGCATGGCCAGCAGAGTTGAAACAGCAGTCAGAGTGATTAGATTGCAGAGATCTTTGTCATTGGCTAATTGATCATGAAGTCTTTAAAACTGAAGTAAATGGATAACTGACTAAAGTGTTAATTGATGTATATATATAAGCGGTTTAGGTCTATTGAATAGAATATAAAAATATACCTACACCTATCCAAGTAGAGGTGAATTATTTTTTAATAAGATAGGATCTTGTCATACATGCTCTCTGTCATCTGATTCTCTTTCACATAAAACATACATCTTTATACATCATTAAGGGCTTCTTCATGTTATCATTTTTTATGGCTGTGTAGCACTTCATCAGTGCATGGATATACTTTTTCTAATTCTGCATGGGTATTTTTTGTTTCTTAGGGAATTCTTTATAGTAGTTATTTGTAACATATCTTTTTCCTTCCAGGAGATGATTTCCAGACTATAGCTTGAAACATGTAGTACGTTTAGGTCACTTTAATATAGTTACCATTATAAATAATCCTGTTATGAAAAGTTTATACTAAACTCCTTGGGAGGAGGGGAATCTGTTTATTTCCTAAGTATAAATTCTAAGAAATAGGTTAAAATGGATGCCTACTTTTGAGGGTTATGGCAAATGAGGATTTTAAGGTTTATCAATCTCTTGGTCCATAAGGGCACTCATTGCCCACAGTTTCACCGACCTTGAATCTTATCATTGCTTAAGATATTTACTGATATGCCTGTTATACCAGGGATGATAGAACCAACACAATTTCAAGTTCACTGAGATAAAAAAAAAATAAGGTTTAAAGCTTTTGTGCATTTAAGACCCCAGATTCAATAAGGGCACTCAGGATCAGGAAAAACTTAAGAGTTGCCAGTAACCTCATAGGAACTTTTGAAAACATGACAGCTATCTTCAGCTATCAGAAGGACAGACTGTGCAAAAGAAATTTGATTAAAGGTTTTATTTAATTCCAGAGGAGATCGGATCTTATTGGTAAAATAATAGAAAGGAATATTTCAACTCACTCTGACAAATAGGTGCTGGGTTATCCCAAGTGACAGTATTGCCTGCGATGATGCATGTAGCAGAGGGGGATCCCATAAGACGGAATCTAGAGGGAAAGAATAAGGAATATTATGCTCTAAACACACAGGTCATCTCCTGCTTAAATTGCTACTTCCCAGAGATTGCAATCTTAAAGAATGCAGAAGGACATTTTCCCCTTTGTCAAAGCACTACCTATCACTTTCCTAAATTTTACATTCTTCTTGAGAATTTTTTACTTTCTTCATCATGCCTTCTCAATATAGTGGAATGCCTCTTCTTTATTATCTTATGCCACATTTTTGTGTAAATCTAAGGTAAATTATAGTTATTTCCTATGAGCTCATTTAAGAAAAGATATTATAAACTTCTTGAGTGTAAGGAAGCTGTCATATGTATACACATATCTGTGTATGTATATATTTCCATTAAATGTATTTCTTTTACTCCTTCCTTCCTTCCTTTCTGACAGTTTTACTATGTTGCCCTTGGTACAGTGCCATGGCATCATAGCTCACAGGAACCTGAAACGCTTGGGCTTAAGTGACTCTCTTGCCTCAGCCTCCCAAGTAGCTGGCACTACAGGCAGCCACCACAACACCCAACTATTTTTTTGTTGTAGTTGTCATTGTCGTCTGGCAGGCCTGGGCCAGGTTTGAACCTGCCAGCCCTGGTGTATGTGGCTGGCACCCTAACCACTGAGCTATGGGCACTGAGCCCTTTAAATGTATTTCTTATGCCTCACAAGTGTAAATGGGTGGATGGGTGAATGTTTTTTGTCAATAAGATCCATCAAACTAAAACCAAAGGAAATCCAAGCTGACCAAAAAGAATAAAGACTTCCTACTTACAATGTTAAAGTCAATATTTCTCAATTAATATGCCTCGGCTGTGCAAAGTGGGCCATAAAATTTGGAAAAAATTCATCACATTTATTTTACTTCACCTGAGATTCTCTATTGTGATAGATGGCTGGGCTTTCGCAGTCATGAGTACTGGTGCACAGTTGGGTCAAAATTGATACTATTGCAAGTAAAGAGCAATACAGTAATGTCAAATGGCAATCGTGTTTACTGGTATAGCTGAGAACTATGTTGCTTAGGAGCATATCAGAAAATACATCCACATGAAGCTTCATTCAAACAACAAGACGGTGCCAAATCGAGATCTAATGAATAGTGAGACAACAGTGGATGCTCTCGAAAAACTTGAAGCACTGTTACATGGTAATAGTGATTATATTAACATTATTAATAATTTAAGTACCATTCTGTTTTGAATGCCTTCTAGTACACCAGCCAAGATCAGAGTACTCTACATTGTGCTGCCAGCACACATGTGCACAAACGGAGAGCATGCGGAGTAAGGAAAGGCGGCCGTCCTTCTGTGGCACCTCCTCTGCCTGTCTTGGAACCACGGATCGTGGTGACTCCTCTGGCTTTGACCCTCACAGAGGTTATTTCTTAAAGCGCTCCTTTTGATTTTCTAATCGTAATGATTGGGATGGGAATGGTAAAGTAAGCTCAAAGTTGAGTTGGCATTTTTCCTCTCCACACTGTGCTTTTGTGTTGCAGTACTGAATCCACCAGGAGTCAAAAGATAACTCTGTAATCCCTGATCAAGGGAATACATGAATGTTTTAAGTTATTAAATGTGCCTCCCAAAGTAGATGAAGTAATTGAACAAATAATGGTTTGAACTTTTCTCCTTCAGGGTGTTTATGAGGAAATAAGGCAGAGGGATAAGACCCATGCTACATGTTTTAAGGGAAGCCAGGGCTTCTTATATCCATTTCAGCAGGTCAAAGCCTTTACATACACCCTATCTTCTTGGGTGTCTTGGGGGAGAAGAGAGTTGTGAAGTCATATAGTAAGCCATGGTTCAGAAAAAGCCAAGATCATTTCATTCCCAGAAACTATATACAGCCTATGGGCAACACATCTAGATGTCTGGGAATCTTCTGCCCAGGGCCAAGAGTGGGACAAAGGAGGCCTGGAATATTTTCCTGGTGCCATTTCCATTTTTATCCTTTTTGATCTATGCACCTTGAACCAGGTGGGTGGGTTAGGAAAAAGTCAGCATATAAAACAAACCCTGTGAATTATTTACATTTTGTGCATCATGCATCAGTCTTTGGTAGGAAGCTTCTCCCCTTGGCAATTAAACAGTTACTTACAAAACACTTTTCATTTTGAGATAGCACAGATTCACATGCAGTTATAGGAAATAATAAGGGAGATTCCAGATACCCTTAATTTTCTCCCAGTGACAACATCTTCCAAAACAATAATATAGTACCAAAACCAGGATATTGACATAGGTATGACCCACCGATTTCGTTCAAATGTCCTATTTTACCCATACTCGTTTGTGTGTGTGTGCATGTATATGCAGTTTTTTAAGATAAACTTTGTGTTTTAAAGAAGTTTTTGGTTCATGTTAATATTGAACAAAAGATACAGAGATTTTTCATACACTCTCTGCCCCCACATATAGGTAGAAGCCAAAGGCTGTTAGATCAGGAGGAAGTGGGAGGAAACTCAAGTCTTGATTTAACAGTCCTTAACTTCTACCTTTGGGGACCTTAATGAATGTGGAAACTGGTTAGATGAGTAGTACTTCACGAAGAAACTGAAATGACACACAGTGATACAAGGGGACACTTTGGTCAGCATTGCTCAAGGAGTAGTGCGCCATCATCAGAAGGGTCTGGACGCCTATGGCAATCACTCTGAGCACTTCTTATAATTTCAGATGTCAAATGTGACTTGTATTTATCTTTTGTTATTGGTATACATTAACAATTTTAATACAGTTTTCTCCTCCCTTAAAAAAATGTGTATACTTTCGGGTACTCTGTATCATACCATCTGCAAAAAGAGATATTTTTATTTTTACTTTTTCAATTTAGATGCTTTTTATTTCTTTTTGTTCCTTGCCTGAATGTTCTGGTTAGGACTTCCATTACTATTGTATATTGATTAAAAACTTCCTTGCCACGTTCTTGATTTCAGAGGAAAAGGTTTTAGGTTTTAACCATTAAGTATAATGTTAGCTGTGGGCTTGTTGGGCAAGCAAGGCCTTTATTATGTTCAGGTACATTGCTTCTATACCTAAATTGTTGAGAATTTTTATCATGAAAAGATGATTGATTTTTCCAAATGCTTTTTTTTTGCATCTATTCAGATAATCATAAGATGTTTATTGCTTATTCTACTAATTTTATATATCACATTTATTGAACTGCATATATTGAACCATCTTTGCATTTTGGGGATAAATGTCACTTGATCATGGTGTATAACTCTTGTAATGTGCTGTTGAATTCAGTTTGCTAGTGTTTTATAGAATATCTTTGTAACTACGCTCATCAGAGATATTGACCTGTAATTTTCTTTTCTTTTACTGTTCTTGTCTGGCTTTTGTATCAGGATAATGCTTGTCTCATAAAATGAGTTTGGGAATATTTCCTTTTCTTTGACTTTTTAGAAGAATTTGGTCTTAATTTTTCTTTAAATGTTTGGTAGAATTCACTAGCAAAGCCATCAGTTTGGGGGCTTTTCTTTGTGGGGATTTTAAATTGCTGATTCAGTCTTCTAACTGATTATTAGTCTGTTCAGATTTTCTATTTCTCTATGATCCAGTCTTGGAAAGTTATATGTTTAACCTAGAAGAATGCATTTCTTCTAGGTTATCCAATCTGTTGGTATATAATTGTTCATAGTAGTGTTTTATAATCCTTTGTGTTTCTGTAGTATCAGTCACAATGTTTCCTTTTAAATCTATATTTATAATTTTATGTATTTGAGTCTTCTCTCTTTCTGCTTAGCCTTGCTAAGAGTTTGCCAATTTTGTGTATTTTCTTAAAAACATCTTTTAGTATCACTGATCTTTTCTATTGTTTTTCTAGTCTTTATTTCATTTATTTATGCTCCAATATTTATTATTTTCTTCTTTTTATTTTGAGCTTAGTCTGTTCTTTTCTAGTTTGTTGAGGTATAAAGTTAGGTTATTTATTTGAGACCTCTCTTCTTTCTTAGTGTAGGTGTTCATTGTTATAAACTTTCCTCTTAGAACTGATTTTGCAATATTTCATAAGTTTTTGGTATGTTGTGTTTCTAATTTCATTTGTCACAAAATATTTTTCACTTCTGTTTTGGTTTCTCCTTTGATCCAATTGGTTGTTCAGTAGTGGGTTGTTTAATTTCTACATTGTTTGAAATTTTCCAATTTTTCTCCTGTTATTGACTTCTAGTTTCATAGCACTGTGGCTGGAAAACATACTTGCTATCAGATTTTCATTTTCTTTTTATGTTGAGAATTTGTAGCCTAATGTGAGCTATTCTGGTGAATGTTTGATGTGCACTTAAAAATAATGTGTATTCTGATGCTATTGGGTGGAAAGTTCTGTATATATTTGGTATATAGTTTTACTTGAGACTATTGGTTTCTTGTTGATTTTATGGCAGAATGATCTATCCATTATTCAAAGCGAATTATTCAAGTCCTCTACTTTTATTGTAATGTTTTCTATTTCTCCCTTTAGTTCTGTTAATACTTGATATGTATATTTAGGTGCTCCAATGTCAGGTGCTTAAGTATTACATTGATACATTCTCTTGAGTAACTGACATCTTAATTGTTAATATAATGACTACTGTATCTGGTGATGGTTTTTTACTTAAAGTCAATTTAGTCTAATATAAATATAGCCACTCCTGCTATGTTTGATTTCCATTTTCTTGTAATAATCTTTTTCTATCCCTTTGCTTTCAGACTATGCCAAAAGCTCTGTCTCTTTTGGCAGCATACAGTTGGATCTTGTTTTTTAAATCTGGTCAGCCACTCTATGTATTTTGAATGAAAAATCTAATCTATTTACATTGAAGCAATTACTGATAAGTAAGAACTTACTACTGCCATTTTGTTAATTGATTTTCAATAGTTTCTATTATTCCATTTGTTTCTTCTCTTACTGTCATCCTTTGTAATTTGATGACTTTCTGGAGTGATATGCTTTGATTCTTTAGCTTTTGTCTATCAGCTACAGTGTTTTCTTTGTAGTTATCATGAAGCTTACATAAAATATCTTGTAGTTAAGAATAAATGTATTTTAACTTGACAGCAACTTAACTTTTCACTGCATACAAACCCTACGTTTGAATTTCTCTTTCTCTTACATTTTACATTACTGATATGACAACTGGCATCTTTTGTATATTGTCTATTCATGAATAAATTGTTATAGCTATGGTTATTTTTAATACTGTTGCTTTTAACTTTTTTA